CACTCACACACACACTCACGCACACACACACACTCACAAACACACACTCATGCAACCACCTCAAACACACACACTCACGCAACCACCTCAAACACACACACTCTCACACACACACTCACTCTCACAAACACACACACACACACTCTCACAAACACACTCCCACTCATAATGAGTGACACTTCCATCTTTTTCACTGTAGATTTTTCCTGTGTTTGTTTGCTGGTGTATCAGGTGTCTTACCCAAGGTGTGTACAGCCTCAGGATGAACACACGCACACACACACACACTCACGCACACACACACACACACACACACACTCTCACGCACACTCTCACGCACACTCTCACGCACACACTCTCGCACACACACGACTGGTTTTGTGCTCCAGGGTCACATATATCTGAACATACATCACATTTACTCATTTATCAGCTGATGTGTTCATGTTTCCTATAATTCTATTTTAACAACTTGTATGAAGCCATATGCAAAACGAATACAACTCTATACATCTCAAAACAGAACAACAACAAAAAATAAAAACTGTGGCAGGGTGCAAATAGAATTTACAAGAAATTAAATAAAATAAGCGTCTCATGAGTCATGTTTGATTTTTTTGCTTCTAAACCCATTCAAACATATGCATGTTGTTTATTCTCGCTTATAAACTGATGGCTTCATTTCCTTGCATGAATATGAAGTCAAATAAACACTTGTATGATACAATAAATAATACTAAAGCAATGTTGTCATGTAAAACAGTAAAATGACATCATGGCACTCTGAGTGTGTCTGGCCAGTGACGTGTCAGCCAGTCACGTGATCAGTGGTCAGTCATGAGCTTTAACCTCTTTTAAATGTCTAAACTGTCTGATAATTCCCTTCTGATCTAACAGCAGGCTTATATTTCATATTTAATCATCTGAGAGTTTAATAAAACACAGTTTTCTGATTTTCTCTCAGCGGATCCAGTCCCAGCTCGAGCTCGTCAGCTAGCCATGCTAACCCACACTGACGGCTTTAACCAGAACACTTCGTGACAATCCCTCACAGACATCTAAAAGCCACAGTTTCGGAGATCCATGTCCTTCGCATCATGATTAATACACGTCTGATGAATTTCCATTGGAAACTGCCGATGTTGTTAGCCGCGTAGCATTAGCATGACAGCTGGCGAACATCAGCAATGAGAAAGAATGATGGAGTCGCGCGCGTCTTACCTCAGAAACGGGTTTCATTTATGCTCAAGCTCAAATATAATGCGTGTCCCTCTCATTATGAGAGATAATTGAGACACAGAGCGATCTGGTGATGTTTGTGTGCGGAGACTCTGCGGTGCGGATCAGGAAATAGACGCGCAAGGCATTATGGGAGTTGTAGTCGCTGTCTGACCGTTAAACTGCACGTTAGTCACATGTCTCATTGGCGCAGTTTAAACCAACAGTGCACATCTAAATAATATTGCATATATAAAATATATTTAAATATAATAGTATTCATAATGTAAAATATGTTAGGGTTAGTGTTAGCAAATGCGACCTACTCTATCGCCATTCAGCCATGTCTTGGGAAAATGTTCACTTACAATTGAAGTTAATTTGTAAAGTTATAGTTATTTAATTGAACTGTTAATCTATAGAAGACAAATGAGAGTACTGGGACAGTTCTGAGACAAAAGACTACAAATTAAACCAAAAAAACAT